CCCATTTTCAGATAGCAGGGGAGGAAAGGTGGTGAAACTGAAGAAGAACTGGAGTGGCATCACCAAAGGTCATGTAGAAAGTTTTTAGAACTGTTAGGAACAGAACCCCTATCTTCTAAATCCCAATGCAGAGGCTGTGCCAAAAGACAGTTGTTCCTCATAGGCACTTCATGCTCTTGACGAGCACTGGAAAAAATTCTGTCAAAACTGTGTTTCAAAAATGTTGATTAGATGAAACTTTTCACAAAAAGTAGCTGCTAGATGTTGGTCTTCCCAATATCTAGCATACATCTACCATGGGAAGCAGCCACTTTCTATGAAGAGTTTCATATAATCTAGATAACAAATGCCTGGAAAACAAAAATATTTCAACCAGAAGACTTTTCAGGCATTGCTCAAGTCCTTATCTCTTGTTTGTTGTTTGTTTTTCTTCATGTAAATCATTGCACTGGGGTGGGGTTGAGGGGTGAGGAGTTCAGTAGGCAGTCTGCCCATGGGAGAGAGGACAACTCGCAACTCTCTCTCACCATAGCAGCTTGAGGCCAGGTGAGAAGCGCCTCTCCATGGCTGCTGCACCTCCAGTGGGCATCTGGGAGAGGGGTGCATGTCCCCCGGCTGGGGTAGGTCCAAGTTCGTCTGCCCCCCACACTCTCCAGACAGAGAGAGAAATGCAGCAAACTGTGCACTTTCCCCTTGATCCCTGATGAAGGGGAATAGTCAGCAATATGCTTATGAATCGAGGAGGTGAGGGGGGCAAGCTTCAGCCCTCCTGAACCCTGCCTAAAGGAAGCTGAAGGAGGGAGAAGAGACTCAGGGTTGTGGCAGTCCTGGGTAGAGAGGGAGTGCCCCCAGCCAGACCCTTTCACCTGCCTGGTGATTCTGTCAGCTTCTGATAAAACCATACAGAAAATAATCCCATTCGAAGCACATCCTGGCACAACCAAACTCTTACCTTGCTTTAAAGTTATGATAAGAGCAAGCTGTAGATGGAATTTGGAGATCCTAGCTCTTACTGTTTACGAGGCGTTCTTGAACAAAAACAGACCGACACACTCACAGATAGACAAACTCGCTCAAATATATAGTAGATTTGGCTAGCTGTGATGTCTCATGGGAATTGTAGTTTGGTGTCCTCACATCCCCATTCTTTTTTATGGCTTGGGCTCCCCAGCTGGACTACATCTCCCATGATGAAACATGGCCAGTGGCTCCCATGATGCAACCACCTCCTGTCACTAGCAAAATCCCAGATGAGACTGATGCATCATAGGAGGTGCTGGGGGTACAGGGAGCTCAATCTGTAAAGAATGGAAGCAAGAGGCACCTGAACTACAAGTTTCTGAGGCACCATGGAAGCTTTTTCTAATTAAAATATTTTGATTTGAGGGGGGGAAAAAAATCAAAAGCGCAACTTTTTCTGCAGGGGTGGGGTGGAGCCGATTTTCCAGCCAGCTCTACTCAGTTTGCCTGTTTGCCAGCAGAATTGGTTGCCATGTGGACAATCTGAGTGCACAGCTGTTATTTAGGGCTGTAGGAAGAGAGCCACACTGACAGCATCGGCAGACTGAGCTGGAACTATTGGCACATAGAGAAGCTTTGCATAATTTACAGAGTGACTCATTGTGCCCATTTTGGGGCATCTTAAGATATCTCATGCCACTGTGAGTATTTTATAAGTCACTTGGAATTTCTGAAAGAAAGTCTGTCAAAACAAACAAACAAACAAAAAAACGGCTCAAAAACCATTTTGCACTGCTTTTCAAATTTGCTTTGAGTGATCTTATTTTGCCATAGGTGAAAAAAAAAATGTTTTCAGATACCATCATTTACCGCCAGTCACATCAGCATAGAGCCATGGCTCTTAGCAGAGTGGGCCTTAATCTAATTAACTGAGAATTATTCCGGGATTGTTAAGTATACAGCTCTGCAAACAAACTTTTCTGGGTCTGTTCAATTGCCTCAGTGGAAAGCTCCATGGAAGAATCAGCGCTCTCAAGGACTAACGGCTCCCTTAGCTTCCCTCTGCTCATGGGAAAGGAGGGGAACCAAACACACGAGTCTGACCAAGGATGGGATAGTCAGGGGCTGCCAGCTTCATCATGTCCTTCCAAAACCAAACCCCTCCCCAGCCTTATCACAGGGGCTGCAAATATGTATCCAGAGCAGTGTTTCCCAAATGGTGCTCCGTGGAACCCCAGGGTTCTGCAAAGCGAAAGTAAGAGTTCAGCCAGAACTTGATGATCCTCCCCCACTCCCCCCGCCTTAAAGAAACAGAGAGGAGCCGGTGTACAAAGACGCTGGCTCCTTCTCTGGTTTCCCGCCAGCTTTCAGACACCTCCCCTCCCCCGCTGCCACTCTGCATTTCCAAAGCAAGTCTCCCTGGTCCACTTCCCTTTTTCCCCGCCCTCAACAAATCCCTCCCTCCCCCGGCTGTAGGGGTTCCTCGAAATTCTTCCTAATTTAAAAGGGTTCCGTGGCCAAATAAAATTGGGAAACTGATCTAGAGTGTATGGCCCATGTGGCTTTTCCTGGCAGCTCTTCCTCACAGAGGTGTTGTGAGCAGTGTTCCCTTTAAGCTGCTAGGCAGCACAGCTTCACAGGTGATTCATCAGTCCCACCCAGGTTCCCCCGCACAGAACCCTGAGCCTCTGACTGGGCGGGGTTGATGAATCGCCTGTGAAGCTGTGCTGCCACACAGTTTAGCGGGAACACTGGTTGTGAGGATAAATACATTTAAAAAAGACTGAGGTGCTCAGATATTCTAGCACAGTGTTTCTCAAAGTACACTGTTCTAGTACTTATGTCGTCCCCATTACTATAGATGAGAGGGATTGTATAAGGGCTGCAATTCAGATTCAAGTACAGTTATTAATGACCAGTGTGTATCTTACTCCCCACCCATTTTGCTCCCCACCAAAAATCTTCTTACCCATGGTGTCCACAATGAGATCCAGCTGCCCGTTATAGACGGTAACATTGATACTGGCATCCAGCAGCGCATCCACGAGATCAATAACAGGCTTCATGAAGTCTCCAGCCATGTGTAAGAAGACGTCTTCTGACTGACCTATTCATGTGGATCCAAACATGAAAAAAAGCGGCACCGACTAAGTCTGTCATCTTTCAACTGAGGCATCAGCAGCAGGACTTGCCAAGAGTTGAAATGCAGTATGTTGCTGCGTAAAAGCAAGCGCTAGAATGGTGCATTCCAGACCACAAGGATCAGTCTGAATCAGTGGAGAGAAATGGAGAATGGCCAAGTTCCACATATATACAGGGGATATCAAAAAAGCAGAGCATGTGTTTCTAACAGTACAACACCTGCGGATTTTGTCAGTTTCCATCTCCCATTTCAAATCTGGAGGGCTGTTGGCAGGTATTCAGCATTGCTCTCAGGTCTGATTCACACTCTCCCTTCCCTGTATGCTCACAGCATCTGCTTTCCAGCAGAGGAGACTGGATAGGAATTCTTCACACACAGAGCTGCTCACGTATGAAGCAAACTCTCCCTTCCAGGGTGTGCACCTGGCAAGACCCGGGTAAACTAGACAGAAAGCTCCAAGGACCTATACCCATAGACCTGCACAGTTCCCTGTCCAACAGCTGGGCCCAAGCAGGATAAGAATTTTAACAAGCAAGTCAGGCAGCCTTATCTGGTACAGCATCCAGGTTGCTTTGGACAGACTAGTCTAGACTATTGTGCTAGGGTACGTCTACACTGCAACACTATTTCGACATAACTAGCGCCATTCCGAAATAACTTAGTCCACGTCTACACAGCAGGCAGTTATTTCGAAATAGTGTTGAAATACTGTCAAGCTGGAGGACTTCTTACTCCGACTCCTGTAACCCTCATTGTACATGAAGTAAGGGCAGCTGGAGGAAGAGTGCTTTATTTTGAAATAAGTGCGGTGTAGACCAATAAGCTATTTCGAAATAAGAAATGCAATTGACGTAGCTCAATTTATGTAGCTTATTTCGAGTAAGCCCAGTAGTGTAGACGCATCTCTGTGAAAAGTTGCTTTTAGAGCCATGCCAGAAGGTAGGAACATACCTCCCCACTTAACAGAGTCAGGGATGATTCTCAGCTTCTTTCGAATGGGTCCATTCATCAGGTCACTTAAGCTGTCTGTATGCAGACGTTGGACGTGGTTCCGGTAAAGATTAACTGAAAGGAAAGAAAAAAAGTGTTTACTTCGCAGCATAGAGTGTTGGATTTAAAGACAATGAATATGTACTAAGATGGTGTCTGATAAGCACCAGACAAAAACATGTCTATTGAGGTTCATTCAGTTCCGATCTGAGAAACTCTCTTCTACTGACACTGCAATAGTACACAGAAAAAAAAACTTGCTGATTTTGAAAGGTCATCAGTAGAAGATAGAATCAGCCTATCACATGGTCAGTAGACATTGTCTAGTTCCTTTTTCTGCCAATGCAGATTGTTCCCAACATTACCTTTCTGGGATTAAGTTTCTGCATTAGTTGATAAGTCCGGACATAAACACATCTCATCACCAGACGAGTTAGTTCTGAACTGCAACCATTTGTTACTTTTGAAAGTAAGGAGAACCCTTCACCTGATCCCTCCACTGTTTATCTGTCTCTTGGAGCCAATAGAGACACAGTAATTAAAAAAAAACAATTTTATTTCCATATAAATATTTAAAGGGAATGCAGAAGTGAGGCTGTGAAGATTGATGGAGACAAGAGTCTAATCAGATCGTCTGCATGGATGGAAGACCATTTGGGTATCCTTCTTGGAAATGAGACATGCAAAGATTTGGAGGGTATAATTTGTGAAGTTCCACAGTAACATATTTACTACTGCTCATGATTAATAGCCAGAGCATGTATCTAGCTGAAATCACATGCCACAAAAAAGAGCAGTCATATATCCCACAAGAGGATCCTTTAAGCCCCCTCTGTATGGAGACAGGTAGGTTCAGCACTTGAAAATTATGGAGGCATTTTTGCAAGATGTCCTAGGTAGGCAGTTCCTACAGTCTACAACAACAGGTTTGGGTGCTCAGCACTTCTGCAAATCAGGCCTTTGGAAGCTGAACTTCAGAACCATCCGCCCTCAACTTACCAAGAAGGATGTTTTTATGTTTCGAGGCTTTGAGATCTGGAGACTTCTTAGTGAGGATGTTATAGAAATTTACATTGTCCGTATTCTGAAAGAGTGAGAGAAGAGGCGATATTAGACTGGACATTTCACGTCAAAAGAAAAAAAAATCCGACATGAAGGTTGCACTCCCTGCCTGGACCAGAGAGTGATCAATGTTTCCTTCTGAAATGGGGTCTTACTTTGTTCCCCATTTGGGCTCTATTTTGAAAGAGGCCTTTTGGGAAGGGCTGCTGGTGCCTTGCTCCCTTCTTTTTTGATGATGGATTTTGGGAACATTCCCAAAGTTAACACACAACTGGTGAGAGAAAGAGAGAGAAAGGGAGAGTACGCACACTTTGCTACTGATTTTCCTTCCCAGCCTTGAAAAGGTGGCATTCCCCTGGAATCCCACCTCCCCATCTCGCTCTGGAGATGCTGCAGCCATAACCTCAGTGCCACATATCTCCCTGGCTGCGTCTAAACTACACCTCTCTATTGACAGAAAGATGTAGATTAGGCATGTCGAAATTGCTAATGAAGCAGGGATTTAAATATCCCGCACTTCATTAGCATAAACATGGCCACCGCTTTTTTTCGAAATGGAGCTTTTTTGAAAAAACAAACAAACCAAACGGCAGTCTAGACGCAGATGTGTCGAAAATAAACTCTTTTTCGACAGATCCTGTAACTCTCATTTTTTGAGGAATACAGGATCTGTCGAAAAAGGGTTTATTTTCAACAGATCCGTGTCTAGACTGCCGTTTTTTTCCGAAAAAGCTCCATTTCGAAAAAAAGCAGCGGCCATGTTTATGCTAATGAAGCAGGGGATATTTAAATCCCTGCTTCATTAGCAGTTTCGACGTGCTTGATTTGCATCCCTCTGTCGACAGAGAGATGTAGTCTAGATGTAGCCTCAGAAGCTCCTTTCCCCAATAGAAGGCTTCCCATTGCTTAGTTTCCTGCTATCATGCCAGTCTCAGCCATGGCAGTCAATATGTGGCATCCATACTCTGGAACTACTGATGCAACCAATTCATAATATCTAGCTGAATCCAAGAATTCTAGATGCATCATATCCTTCATATAGCCAGTAGCATGGAGGTGGCCCCAGAAAAGAGGTGTGTTTCCATTAAAGTTACATTTTGTAGGGTCTCATTTTCAATATTTAGAAGTTATGCTGTACAAGTCAGAAGCCGATTCATAGCTGGAGCAGCTGTGCCTTCACCGTTACATTGCAGCTAGGAGGAATAGTTACATGTGCTTGCAAAGAAAGGGAAAAAGGTAAGCCAAGATCACATTAGAGCAGTGATCTCCAACATTTTTACACCCAAGATCACTTTTTAAGTCTCAGAACAGGCGAAGATCTACCGCCCCGCCCCTTCCTTGAAGCTCCGCCCCTTCTTTGAAGCCCTCAAATGAGAAAATCGAATGTAAATGTACTGCGCAGGCACGCAGTTCAGAGAGGGTTCAAGAGCTACTCTTGGAGACCCTGAGATCTACCGGTAGATCGCAATCTACTGGTTGGTGACCACGGCATTAGAGTGTGAAATGAGGAAATGAAACCAGTCATGCACAGAGCACTGGCAGTTGCAAAATAGCCAGAAAACTAGGGAATGTTAAAATGAGGTTAATTTACTAATTGAGTAGTCAATAGAATTTTTATCGACTCACACCGTGTCCCTGGAAACCGCCCCCCCCCCCAGACGGGCTGCTTAGCAGCAGCATCCCCTTCCTCCTCCCCGTGCTGCTGCCTCTGATGTAGGCAGCACCACAGAGACGGTCCTAAGAGGTACTGGCTTTTAAGCCAACTCCTCCCAGCACTGGCTCCTGTTCCACTCCCCCCCACCCGCCGCTGCCTCTGATACTACTCACATCCCTACAGAAAACGAGAAGCAGTTTTAGCTTAGTCTTGCAGTTTGAGTACAGCATTGCACACATTACACTTGTTTTTTAAAAACAAGTCACATAAGTGCTACTTAAGTGAATCACGTCCCTATAAAACACTCTTTGTGACCCAACTAAGCAAAGCATGTTTTTAAGTTAAGCTGGAGTAGTACTACTGAAGTCAATGGGCCTATTCATGTGCTTAGTGTCAAACAAACTGATTAGGTGCTTTACTGAATCAAAACCGTAGTGCTATACTGCTTTGCACACACCCGGGCCACATTCGCCATTGAGTACCACTTTATATAGTCATTTACGCCAGTGGAAGAGTATAAAATGCTTTCAAGCCAGCATAGGAGCATACTGAGTAGTACCGTTGACCTAGAAGGTCCGCTTAAAGTATGCAACTCCAGCTACGCAGAATACGTAGCTGGAGTCAGCTTACCTTAAGCCAAGCTTGGCACCGTCCCCACTACGGCAGGCTAACAGGAGCAAACACTCCGGTCGGTTTCTCTTACTCCTTGCAACTACGAGGAGAACAATCACTGGCTGGAGCTGCCCTCAGTGTTTGATTTACAGGTCTATACTAGACCCAATAAATCAAATACCAGAACATTGATCTGTGGTGCAGCAACCGAAGATGTGCCCTGAGTGCACTAGTGTGAACAAATGCATAAGGAGCAAGGTAATGGAGACTTTGGCCTATCTATAGGTTAATAGCAGAGTGTTATCTGAATTTGTTCACATACATAAGTGGAAAGCCTCAGTTACGTACACATTTTGATGCCCGCATCTTACCTGTTCAATTACTTCCTCAGTTTGACTCCAAAGCTCAGTGGCTAGTGTGTATTGCTTTTTATTCAGTGCATCCATGACTTTTTTGGCAGCGGCAGTCACCTCCACTAGACCTTGATCATCAAGAAGAGACTGGAAAGCAAATAGGGTGAGAACAACCAATTGCTCATGGAAGGAATTTGACTTGACACCATAAGTCAATGCCTTGCCCATTACCAGTAGGGTTTTTATACCGGTTGAAAACCAATGTAGAAATGGAAGTCCCTTCTAGCATTTGAATTGTACAGTATAAAGGGCTTGAATGAAACCTTAAAAAAGAGATCAATTACAAAATTGCAAATAGCAGAGAGGGAGTAGATACTTACTGTGCTGTAAAGGTAAGGCCCCCAGGAAAGCACAGAATCTAGAGAAACAAAATAGATTTCAAACATCTAATAATTTCTCTGTCAAAACTCTCTCTAATGTAGCAGGAATAGTAGTGACAGCAGCATAGAGAGACAAAGATGAATTACTCAGTAAAGAGGTATTGTCACATCAAATGTAGTACAAAGTGTAGGCATTGAAGTTGTTTGCTAAGCCTACATCTGCCACCATGACATTAGCTCCCCACATGTTAGCCAATGGAAGCTGTTTAAAGCAACCACTAGACATTTCTCCTGCAGCATTTTCAACTCAGACATTGCAGTAGTGTGCTAGTGCATGAGAACATGCAGACAGTTTTGACTAGTCCAAGTTCATTATCCAAGCTGACCTGTTTGCAAACAGAGCAAGAGGACAAAAAATATGACTACATCAGATTTTTGAAGGTAAGTTATAAGGATGTAATTTATAGCACAGGCAGGGCAGATTGCTTAAGGAAAGCTATAGTGCTGCACCCTTCTAAATTCCCGCATCTATGTCCCGATCCTCCAATGGGCCTGTCCACATAGATCTCACGGCACGACCAGGACCATAAGAAATACTTTCTTGTGGTCCATCATTTCCACCTCTTTCTGTACAGTCATCCTAGCTCTGCTGACAGTCAGACTGCTGTGGCTGGTGGCTTTAATATTAATGGTAAACTAGATGTGGTAAACACTAGAGGGCTAAGTGTTTCTATAGAAGTATAGAAACACTTAGCCCTCCCAATGCAATGCCCCTTCTTACTGTAGAGCAGTGGTCTCCAACCTTTTAAAGTATGGGATCACTTTTTGAATTTAAGTGCAATCCAGGATCTACCTCAAACTCGAACACCCTTGCCCTGCCTCCCTCCTGCCTCTTCTCTGGTGCCCCACCACTGCTTACTCTATCCTCCTCCCCCATCCTCACTCACTTTTATTAGGCAGAGGGCAGAGGTTAGGGGTGCAGGAGGGTTCAGGACTAGGGCCGGGGTTTGGAATGCTGGAGCCAGCTGAGCACTGCTTACCACAGGTGGCTTCTGGGTGCTGGTGCAGGGGGCTAAAGCAGGCTCACCCCTACCCTGGCCCTGCACCACTCTCAAAAGCAGCCAGCAAAACTCTCTCCATCCCTGCCCCCCTCTGCTCTGTGGCGATGGGGTACAGGGAAGGGCACCCTGACATCAGAACCCTCCTTCTTCATCTTCCCATGCCCTGCACAGCAAACAGGAGGCTTTCAGGGGTGAGGGGCACCTCCAAGGCAGAGGGCAGGAGCAGCACAGCAGTGCTGAGAGGAGCAGATGATAGCCTCCTAGCCAAACTGTCAGGATCACCTGTCAAAGGTTCCAAGATCTACCAGTAGATCCCGACCTACTGGTTGGTGACCACTGCTGTAGAGGCTAGTGATAAAGCAGGCATTTTCTTATCTGATATTTTAAAAGTGTGCTTGGATTACAAAAGGACAAACTAGTCAAGCCTGGAACACCTGGAGGTTGGGTTCTCATCTGGAGACACCTCTGACCTGCTGTTTAGAGGTGCCGGGTTCAGGAGGAGTTGTGGGTTTTCAGCTTTTCTGAGTAATCAGGCCTAAAGACCTTGCAAACATGGGTTTCACACAGTTTCTGGATGCCCAAAGTCAGTGGCCACCAAATCAAGGAGTATGCCAAGTCACAGGTTGGAGGCTGGTATGGCTATCCCACAGCACGCCATCCTTCTAAGTACCATGGAGAAGCCAGTTTCAGTTGCAGCCTTGTAAATCTTTCAGTGGCTCAACCTTAACTGAAGTACTTGCTTATTGAAACACTTCAGACCTTTTAGGGACACTCCCCTGCCAGTCATCTAAAGTAACATGAGGGTTTTTTTTACTAGCTTTGTCATGGGGCCATTCTGAATTTTTGAAGCCTCTAAAGGGGGGGCTGATTCAATTACAGCTTCTTGAAACATCATTGTACATTCACCCTGATCTAAAATGAACCAGATCGCCAATGAATGCAGGAAATCTAAAGTAGGCCCAGGCGGTATTCTAGACAGATATGGGCTATTTGGGGAGGAGGAGAAGTTCACAAAAGCCCTATAAACATACCTAAAGGAGAAATCCATGAATCTCCCAGAGCAGCTCCACCAAAATTGCATTCTATGTTCCCAGTGTGAATTGCCTTTAAAAATAACAAAGAGCTTTTAACATACCTTTAGGTAAACAAGGATTTTTCACCTAGTTTTCCTCCTTAACTAGCAAACTGAAGGAAGCAGCAAATTGTAGGAAGCAGCAGTACCTTTGCATTATAGGAAGCAACCCTTTCATTTTAACTAGCATCGAGATTTAATGACATCTGATGAGAATCCATTTATGTCCGGAGAGACTTTCAATTTATCATTGCAGCTTTTCTTGGTAAAAGTCACTGAAATCATTCTCCAACTTCATGGTCTAAAGTGATCAGCATGGGACAAAACTAGTGTTCCCTGAAGCTGTGTGCTTTTGTAGTCACTCAGGAGAGATTCAAATGCCAGCTGGTTAGCAGAGCACCCACAGCTAGGTTTTGTGTTTCTACTGGTGGTGTGCAGTCACACATGCCTCAGTGCACAGAAAAATTATTTTACAGATGGATGGACAAGATTCGAGGGAACATTGGATAAGACAACAATACCAGAGGAGGCTCATCTGTAGAAGCAAGATAGGAATGGAGTCCTCATACAGCAATTTCATGGTTTGGATGTACGCTGTGTCTATAAAAGCAAGTTATGGAGGCTCACAAAGTTTTATTAAACTGCTAATTCAGTTTGAGTCTTTGAGAATAAAGTGCCTCTTTCATTGAACACGAGCCCTCGAGAGTCTAGTTATTTGTCAGAGGCACACATTGTATTCAGAGCTGCCAAATCATTTCATTCAGGAAACTGACTCTAGAGAATGTATGGGGCAGATTTTCAAAACACAAGTGGGAATTGGATGCCAAACTCCTACTGCCTTCTGGTGGGAGTCAAACAGTTATCTGCCTTGTGTGCCGTTAAGCTCCATTTAACCCTTGTAGCCTGGGGCACAATGTCCTCTTTTCTAGTTATCTGCTTCTTAGCTTGATTGAGATCTCTTTCTACAGTGAAGGAAGTTTACTCTCTAAAAATGCAAATGCTGCTACGCAAAAGAAAAAAATCAAATACGCTATCTGACTCATCTTTAAGATGTGAGAAATACACATCGTGCCAAGGAAGAAGTGGTTATTCACTCACATAGGGAAGAATCTGTTTTACCTTATACAGCTCTAAAGCAATACCAGCTGCCATTTTTCCTCCATAAGATTCCGAGAAGATATAGAATGGAATAGTCTGGAGAAGGAAACCACACCATAAGGATGTTAGGCTCCAAGCGCAATATATGTTTTGCTTATTCTCCACCACCCACACAAAACCAAAACTGCACCAGTTCATCCTTCAAACACTAAATAGTTTGTTTGTTCATTCTGCATTGCACCTAAAGAGGCTGCGATCCTACAGCAGGCACACAGTTTCATTGTCTTGAGTAAGACCCATTACAGGCAAAGGGAGAGAAAAAAAATAAAGAACCCCCTCCTCTCTCCCCAACATCAGTTATGCCTGCAGGTTTAAACCAAACAATAGGCATCCAAGGCACAGTCAACCCGTGTAACTTAGGGTGTGTCTAGACTACAGGGCTTGTCGACAAAAGGGGACTTTTGTCGACAAAACTATACCTGCGTCCACACTGCCTTTGAGTTATGTCGACATAACGTCGACAAAACTCAGCAGTTTTGTCGACGTATGTAAACCTCATTCTACGAGGAATAACGCCTTTTATCGACAGAGTTCTGTCGATAGAAGGCATTATTGCATCTACACTGTCCTTTGTGTCCACACTGTTATGTTGACAAAGCGGCTTGCTTTGTCGACTGAACTGGATGTAGTCTAGACGCTTTTTGTCGACAGAAGCTTTGTCGACAGTATCTGTCGACAAAACTTCTGTCAACAAAACCCTGTAGTCTAGACATACCCTTATTGTCCAGGAAAGTTGTGAAGGCCAAAATGATAACAGGGTTAAAAAAAGAATTAGGTAAGCTCAAAGGGATAGATCCATCAAACATCATTAACCAAGATGCTCACAGATACAACCCCTACTCTGGATGTCACTAGCCTCTGACTGCCAGAAGCAGGGAGTGGCCAACAAGAGATGGATCACTTGATGACTGTCCCGTTCTGTTCTTTGTGTGTCATTCTGACACACCTGGCATTGTCCACTATTGGACAGGGTACTGGACTAGATTGACCATGGGTCTGACCCAACATGGCAAGGATGGCCAGCCCATTTAACAAAGAGAGCCAAAACAGCAATGGAAAAAAATGTGAAGAGCGGCACTAGAATGGTCAAGCAAAAACAAAAAAATTTAAAAAAAAATTGTTTAAAGGAGGCTGCCCCTTTAAGACAGCCGCCATTTTGGGCACCATTTTTAAAACCCCGCAACTCCGACCCAGTAAGCACAGGGAAGCTGAGGGGGGGAGGGGGGGGGGAGCCAGCAGGGGGCAGGATCCATTGGGGGGCACAGGAGCAGCTTCGCGAGCCGCACTTTTGGGGTGGGCAAGAGACTCATGTGACTCGTGAGCCACAGGTTGGCCACGGCTGCAATACGGCAATTATGTGTGGTAGCGAGTGGCATATACTACCTTCTGGAGAGGCTGTTATCCTCCTCTGACTATTAGCTGTTCAATAATCCTCTCTGATGCCTTGGTTAGAATCAGAGTTTTGTTTAATGCTATTAAACAAAATTAGAGGTCCTTACCTTGAATTCTTCCTTTGTCCCAAAGAATTCTTTAAGAAAAACCAGCATATCAGAAGATACAGTTGCCAGATCTTTTGCAAATGCATTACTATCATTTGTGTAACTGAATCCAGTGCCCACAGGATTATCAACAAACAGTAAACTGGCTGCCTGCAGCTATATAAACAGAAGACAGGAGATCTGTATGAAGTCACCATTTGATTATCATGACATGCAAATCAGTAGTGGTGCTTTGTAAGGGTCTATCACTATTCCTGATGACAGTCTATATTATAACTGTATCTACAAGGCCACAAACTGCAATTCCGCCTTTCCTTTTTTCCCCAATCCCAGATGTTTATTAAAGACAAGTTTAGCCAACCATGTTTCCTCCACCAAATCAAATGCATAAGTCTATGCTTAAATGAGTTGCTTTTAGGAGTTGTTTCCCCAACTATAGCATTTTAGGGATAAATTATTCAAAGATATCCAAGTTCTTGCAAACATGTGGAGGCGTATGGTTCCATGATACTTTAAACATGTTTGTTGGATCAAGAGTAGAACTACAAAAAACTTCTGATGTTAAGTACTAAATTTAAAATGGACACAGTACTACTTGGGGCATTTTTGTCTTGATCAAACACCTTACTGAGAAAGCAAGGATCCCATCTGTAAGTCAGCAGGTAAAAGCTAAATTTCTACCCAGGTTGTATTTCTTGGTTTCAGTTTTGCATCCAAGGGACCAATTTCTTCAAAGTTCCCAAATCCACAGCCTGAAGCTCCTGGACCTCCCTATAGGCAGAAACAAAACAAAAATGCCAATTAGAATCTGGGGAATCAAGACAAACCAATAGAATTAGTTCACTGAAATTACAAATGAACAGTTTCTGTGCTGCATGCTGAAATGTTATATATTATATATACACACACATATATACATAATATGCCCTGTTTGTGTATAGAGGAATTTAAGATACTCAATCACTAATTTGTGAAAGCATTTGATTAACTTTATGCTATGCAGATACCATTCTGAACTTTTCTTCCCATCCAGAGCTGCACACACTTCAGGGCAGTAAGTATGGAAGAGTCAGCTACAGAGCTGGTGCATGCATAATAGTCAGTTTTCCCAAGGTGCACAGCATGTGCACTACACATTGCAGAATTAATCCAGGATGTGAAAGCCTGAGTAAATTGGTGGCTTATATTCAGTATTACCTCCTACACAGACACATGTCCTTGAACTACTCCACTTTAAACAGTCCTAATATTTTCCTTCTCTCCATTCAGAAATCATTCAGGGCCTCTAATCGTTTTCACCAATTTATCTCTGGCCTTAGACTGGATCTGCCCTTCAGGCTGGATCAGTCATTCAGTTACATGGTGATAGAAATGTAGCCGTGTTAGTCTGGGGTAGCTGAATCAAAATGCAGGACAATGTAGCACTTTAAAGACTAACAAGATGGTTTATTAGATGATGAGCTTTCGTGGGCCAGACCCTCTGGCCCACGAAAGCTCATCATCTAATAAACCATCTTGTTAGTCTTTAAAGTGCTACATTGTCCTGCATTTTGCTTCAGCTACCCCAGACTAACACGGCTACATTTCTATCACTGAGATATAGGTGAGAGGATTATTCTAGGAGGGGGTCGGTGAGATTCTGTGGCCTGCATTGTGCAGGGACTCAGACTAGATGATCATAATGGTCCCTTCTGACCTTAAAGTCTATGAGTCTAACAGAGTAAATGGCCAGAAAGGTGTGGGGTGTGGATGGAAACCATTGTTCCACTCCAAAACCCTTTGAAAATTGAGCCACAAAGAAAACTGGCTGGATGCTCAGAGGAATTTTGTTCAACCCTTTCGGGACATAGCAGCTCCCATTCCACCAGCAATAACTAGTGTCTCTGTAGCACGGAAGGTGATTGAGATCTCAGGAATCAAGAGAAAGAAAGAGGTGTAATTAAAAATTTGAAATATAACAACTTCGTTTGATAGTTAGATTAAAACAATTTATTTGGTCACTTTTTCTCTGGTATATTTAACAACTGATCCCTTAAAAGCTCTTAAATTATTGCTCTACCACCGGAAGCAGGGCTGGACAGGGGCAGCAGGGCTGGACTGGGGAGATTGGGGAGGGGGGTGGAAGTGGGACTGACCTGGGCACATGCAGATCCTGCAGACCCTGGCAGATGAGTGAGGGTGAGTTCTATCTCCGGAACCAGGGCTGGTCGGGGGAGATCAGGAGGATGAGAACCAGCTGCTGGAAGCAGGGCTGGATGGGGACAGTGGAGCTGGTTGGGGGAGGGTGGTGGTGGACGGGGGCAGCAGGGCTGGACTGGGGAGATCGGGAGGAGAAGGGGGGGGGAGCAGGACTGACCTGGGCACATGCAGACCCTGGCACACGAATGAGTCCAGCCTCAGGGATTCCATTTTGTCCGCTTCCCCTCCCTCCCCCATACCCTCTCTCAGGTTGTTGCGAACTGCCTGGCAGGCAGACACACTCAGGCAGCATGATCACATTGACTATCCAGGCAGTTCGCAGCTAAGGACTGATACACCTAATAATAATAAAACTTACCTAATTAGAAAATACCGGACATTTTATAAGTCTGGTAATTTTTCAATTTGTTTCTCAGAGTTTCCCGGACAAAACCTTCAAATACCGGCCTGTCGGGTACAAAACTGGATACCTGGCAAACCCTACCCTTCCTTCCACCCTCCCTCCTAGTCAGATACCCTACCCCCAATCTGCTCCTGCTCCCGCCTCCTGGAGTGCCCATGCGGCACCGGGTCCCCCAAGCCCTGGTCCAGGCTGGGTGGAGGATGCAGCTGGGTGAAAACTGAAAATTTATTCATTTTTCGTTCTTTTTTTTATTTGTGTTTATATTTTTGGGCTGCAAAAAACAGTACTAAAAAAAACCAGGCTCCAACTAAAGTAAAAAGTTTGGGAAACCTTGGTCTAGCCAGTTTTCTATCCATCTTACAGTCCATATATCCAATCCATATTCCCTTAACTTGCTGGCAAGAATATTGTGGGTGACCATATCAAGAGCTTTGCTAAAGCTGGCACTGGGGGTTTTGGGAAGACCAGAAACAACTTATTTGAATATTCATCATTTGCTTAATTAATATGCAAATATGCAAATGAATGTTACTAGTCCTCCAAAAGCTCATGAATTGATTTACTGGTCCCCATGTCAAAAAGTTTGGGAACCCCGGCTGCAGAGAACAGGATAAGGTGGATGAGGCAGATGAGTCTATCTTCAGACAACTGAGAGAAGCTACGAGATCACAGGCCCTGGTTATCAATCAAAAAGTTTGGGAACCCCTGGTTTATGCTATATGCTTTTTTATATAGGGTAGTCAGAGCTAAATACATACCCCATTTGCAAGGAGTTCCATTATATAATTTAATTTATATAACAGCTTTATAATATTTTCAGTATTCTTTTTCTGACCTGAAAACTTAGTTCAGATATTCTCTGAGACCTAAGTCATGGCTCAAAATCTTATTCCTGTATAACTAGAATATCATGGCAGAGCAGTATGTTGAAATCAAGATTCCTTTTAAAATGTCTTTCACAATATCTTACCTGAAGCCACATAATGAGAGGTAATTCCGTGAAATTTTTGGTAGGGTTGTTTGCATAGTAGAGCCACCAAAACATGCTTGCATTGCTTCTGACTGTTACATACCCCCATGATTCTCTTTGTTCTTGTGATTGTTTTAGAACTGCACCTAAAGAAAAAGGTTATCTGATTCAACATGCTAGGGTTGGGCATTTGACCAGTTCAAAACCAACAACAGGCCAAATATTTTAAAGAATTAATTTATTATAACAGTAACAAAGAGAAAGATTTTATTGATTGTGGTAGGCTAGGCCTTAAATACTTATGCCTAATCTCAAAAAGTAAGTTTCGAACAGTTATTAACTGAGAAAAATGTGAAACCCAGTGAAATGAACTTCTTAAAAATGAAAGGATGGCACCATAATACAAACAAAAATGTAAGTCACTGCCTATACAAAAGCATTCTGGCTAGAATAATTGATCATGATCAGATAATGGATGGTCAGTTATCTGCCAAGCCTAAACTAGAATGTGAAATACTTGGCCTTAAAACACTTGACCAATAGCAACTTAGCTGAAGATTTCAGGAGCAATATTAGTGGCCTCGAATGAGCCAACATTCTGCTAGCAGTGTTATCAGAATGTTTTGAAAACACCACAAGTAGAGGAAGGGTTACCAGTGTGACTGTTCTAAAATAATTAGTTCAGCCTTACTCTCTTCGGCTCTGATGTGAACCTTTGTAGCCTCAATAATTCACATTCATTCGTATTGCCAAAATGGACTTCAGCTCATCTGTTCATGTTGTGCCATGGTTTCAAAAAGGATAGCATTCTCAATCCTCTGCATTAGCCTGTGTCATTCATTGATAAGCTTTTTGGGACTATTAACATCACCTAAAAATGCTGCCTGCTTTGAAGTGCAACAATGCATTTGCCTTATACTCAAAAACTTTCTGCTGTCCTATCAAGCAATCACACCCAAGATAGGTATTTTGAGCTTTACACCAAACTCTATGGCTCTGATCCTACCATTGGATCAAAAAAGTAGACCATGCACTTATGAAGTGGGTGCAGGCAAGGGGCCTTTATTTTCAGGCAGCTTCACTCAAGGGAATATTCCATTACCCAGTATCAAAGGGCTTGGAACATACAAGCTGAGGATGGAAGCCAAAGGCCAAGCCACAAAAGTCTTGTGCTAGGAGGGAAAATCAGCATCAAGTAAACTAAGATTTACCTTTCCCAGTATAAGCATGATTCTAACTTTAAATCAATTGTTAGGAATTAACTGGTCAATTGCTTACAATGAACAACAAAGGTGTGTCTTGAAGTTATTTTTCTAACTTCAGGAAAAATCCTGAAGCTGGGCTTGAAAGCAGTTTAACAGCTGAAGTGCAGAGAATCTGCTTGATTTTTACAAGTCCTTGTCCTTTTTATTACCCCCACAAGGTTGCATTGTACAGTAGCTCACAGTAAATCAGAGGTGCAATTTGAATAAGGAATTTTTTTAGCTTGAACATTTTCTTTTGGAGTTTCACTTTATGAAATTATTTCAAGAAATACAGAGGTCCAGCAAGATCCTCAGTTGTATGACCTCTCAAATTTAGACTGACAGATCACATGCATAGTCATTTATCAACATAAAACAGTCTCCCCACTTATATCTTATCAATAAGATAACAGTAAGCTCCAAAACTTCTCAGTTACATTAAACTGATGATGAAGAATGATATTTTGTCTGAGAAAAGTTACACAACTGAGACTTTATCTTCACTTGTCTCTGTTGGGAAACCAGGGAGGGTGAGACAAGCAGCAGATAGTCCATAGAAATCCTCTTCTGTGTAACAAGGTGGCATCTTTAACCCACCCTACACTAGCTTCATGCTTTTGAGGTAGGGCGGAGGTGGAAATCAGCCACATAATAACAACTGACACTATATCTTAAGGGTGCATAGCACATACCTCTACATTAAAGAGAAGCACATAACTATCAAATTAAAGCACCAATTCCCAACAACAACAACAAATTACACACAATTTGAAACTCAAGCTTTTACCTCAGTGGTGGGCAGCCTGCGCCCGAGGACTGCATGCAGCCCATCGGGGTTCTAGGTGTAGCCCGCAAGACGACCATTGCCCATCCACAGAGTTTCCAAATTCTGCTAATTTCTGTCCATGTCGTTTTTTTCCTACTAGTATTATTAAAGTGACACATGCTTGAAAGCAAGAGCAGATGAAGTACATGCTGATTGCACACAACATTGACTGTGAGCCCCATGTACTCCCTCTGCATCCAGTCAAAGTGCTGCTAGGATTCAATCTGCACACCCTGCAAATTCCAGGTACACAAGGGCAGTTAGCAAAACTACCTTATCCTGGGAAACGGGCTTGGTTATGGCCCACTGAGATGAACTAGGGTCATTTATGCAACCCACTCATTAGCCTAGGTTGCCCATTGCTGCCCTAACTTGCAATTCGGAGGCTGTACAGACTGACCCATGCAGAGTTCTATTTAAGTCAGTGGGTTCTATGTGCGGGAAAAGAGCCATTCATATGGTCCTTATTGAAGGATACAAGCTTCAGAATTCAGTTCTTATAAATACAACATAAATAAAAGACTGTCTGGTTATCACTTCAATAATGCAAAACTACTTTTGTGGAAGTAAAAAGGACTTACTCCTTGAGATTAGTGGGCTGCAGAATACTCCCACAGCAGATATGTACGTTTTTAGGACATTGAATCAGATAGATCCCTGATTCACAGGCAAATACTTGCTCTTGACTTCAGTAGGGCAATTCACATGGGTGAAATTTATCTCTATTGTTAGGGCCTGATTCTGAACACAGTTCAGACAGTTTCCATTGCGAAAGACTAAGGGAACAGCCAGAGTGTCCCAAGGAAGTGATTACACAATTAATGTCACGGGATAGGCAAAGCTTAAAAGAGCATGAGCCCCTTAAAAATCACTGCACAAAACTCTCAGCACGTCTGCATTTAAATGCTTCTGCCAGGACATAGGACAAAAATAAATAAATTAATAAATGGGGGGAAGGGGTTGGTACACACGGTGAAGAGAGTCATCATTCATTCCTCGGCGTTCACCTAACAATAAATGCCTTAAAGTTCAGCAAGCCACAAAATCAGATTAGAGCAAGTTTACTAGGAAGGTGCTTTGAGCAATGTCTATCACCCTAGTCCCAGTAACGCCTCATGGATCTAGTTAAACATGCTCCCTCATATACTTAGCCTTTACCAAACGTACCTGCGGTGAAGAGAGTCATCATTCATTCCTCGGCGTTCACCTAACAATAAATGCCTTAAAGTTCAGCAAGCCACAAAATCAGATTAGAGCAAGTTTACTAGGAAGGTGCTTTGAGCAATGTCTATCACCCTAGTCCCAGTAACGCCTCATGGATCTAGTTAAACATGCTCCCTCATATACTTAGCCTTTACCAAACGTACCTGAACC